GGGCGGAGCTATGGGCGAGGCGGGCCGTCGTCGTGGTCGAGAGCGGTGGTGTAGGGGAGGTGTGGCGTCTCGCTAAAATCCAAAACACGATGAGAGCCCGGCGGTGGAGGGTGTAGGGTGTGAGACCGAGGGGATGCTTCGGAGGAGGAGGTGGGGGAAGGAGAGGAGGAAGAACTCGTTATTGGTAGGCGAGCGACGACGAATTTATGAGGGTGGCAAGTGGGGCCTGGCAGGTCAGGTTGGCCGGGGGGGCTGAGTGAAGTGAGTCCCGGGGAAGTCCGTCGTGCGAATTAGATCCGTGTGGCTTTAGGCCCTCCAGGCTCTCGGCCGGAGGCCCGGTGGCTGGCCGGCTCTTTGGCGGGGAGGGCCCGTTTGACCGGACCGGCCGGCCCGGCGGACCCCCCTGCGGACTGTAAAGTAGTCCCAGAGGTCCTCCAGCGCGGAAGGGTATGGGGTGCCCCCCCCCCCCTCTCTCTTCCCAGCCCCGCCCCGCCCGGACGGGTCTCTGGTGGTGGTGGCGGTGGCGGTTGGTTCCGCTTCGACGGCGAGGGTCGGGTATCCAAGCGACGGCGGCGACCCTCCCCCTGCCCCGATCGCACCGGAGGGACCCCCTGGGACCCCGCCCGCCCCTCCGGCGGAGCGGCGGTGGTGTCGCCGAGCGGCGCACCGGCACGGAAAATTGTGTTATTCGTATGCGAAAGAAATGGAAGCGAAAATTTTTGGAAAGGAGGGAGCGAGCAAGGAGCAGCGCGGCAGCGGCAACCTGAGAGACGAGAGGGCGCTGGGCGGGCTGGGGGGGGGGGGGCTCGGCTGATACATGCGCCGACGGAGAGATGAGATTTGGGAAGATGGCATAGCGAGGAAGAGAAGTGGGAGAGCAGGGGGCGCTTTATCCGGTCCAAGTTGTGCGCGAATAAAGCACACGCGCGGAACAAGTAAATTAATTAATGATGTCGGGGTGCCTCTGGCCCGCCGCCGGGCGATGCGTGGAGGTGACAGTGAGAGAGAGAGAGAGAGAGAGAGAGAGAGGGGGGGGGGGAGTCAGACGAGTGAATTACAAGTCCCAGCCATTTTTCTCAGCGCTCGCACGCCACGCATCGTTCCTCATAGGTTCCGGTGGTGGTGGCGGACGGGGGCGGCGGGGGGCCTCAACTTGATGCCTCAACTTGATGCCTCGCGTGTGTTTTCGAGACAGCGACTTTAAGAATTTTGTAGACTTCATACATCGTATACATTGTCGCCTCACTCTACTCTATCTGTCTTTGTATCTCTGTATCACCCCCCCCCCCTCTCTCTCTCTCTCTCTCTCTGTCTCACTCTCTCTCCCTCTCTCTCTCTCTCTCTCCCTCTCCCTCTCTCTCCCTCTCTCTCTTCCCCTCCCTCCCCGCCAGAGGGTGAATAATGAATGATGCACTACTGGCACTGTGACTGGGATAAAGGCAGGCCAGCCCAGAGGCAGAGGAGTGCACCTCAAGCGGGGCGTGGTGGGGCGGGGGTTTGGACGGGCCGGGCGTGCTCAACCGACCGACGCAACACCGCCTTATAGACCAGGCGGGGGTGAGGCAAGCAGGGCGGGGGTCGGGCGAGGAGCAGGTCGTCGTCTTCGTCTCCCCGGTATCTCGTTGGTGGCTGGCCTTCTTGCCGACCTTGCCTCTCGGAGCGCACTCCTTCTCACCGTTCCACCTTCCATTTCTCTCTCTCTCTCTCTCTCTCTCTCTCTCTCTCTCACACACACACACACACACACACACACACACACACACACACACACACACACACACAAATCGATGCGCCCTAACGAAAGAGTCCGATCTGCTTTGCTTCTGAACCAAAAGAGTCCGATCTGCTTCGCTGCGAAACCAAAAGAGTTCGATCTGCTTCGCTGCCAAACCAAAAGAGTCCGATCTGCTTTCGGCGCTCGTCGACCGCTCCGCATAAACTCTATGATATCTCGAAGCTTGAGAGGAAAAGGGTATATATTTTAGGGTGTACACATTCGTAAAGGACAGGGTAACAAGCAAGTCTTTTTATTTTGCGTAAATTCAAAATATCCGAGGAGTTATAGCCCTCCAAAGATGCCTGACGTTCCATCGCCGAAAAGCAGATCGAACTCTTTTGGTTTGGCAGCAAAGCAGATCGGACTCTTTTGGTTTCGCGGCAAAGCAGATCGAACTCTTTTAGTTCAGCAGCAAAGCAGATCGGACTCTTTCGTTAGGGCGCGTCGAAATATATCTTTTACAACAAGCGGGGAAATTTTGTAATTCCGGTTTAAAAAAAATTATGTTGTAAATTTACGACATCCCGTTCTTGCTCGTCAGTGAACAACTCCAAAAATGTTACCATTTCAACTTGTGATTTCACAACACACGTCATGGAAAATTTTCCCCCACCTTTTGTAGTGGCTCTTTCCCTCTCACATAGACAGGCTATGGCAGCCATATGCACAAATGCACTTGCCGCCTGTCGAAGAACAAGGCCGGCACAGGCGTGGCTGCGGAGGTGACGGCGGGGATGAGTTTTACCATTAGCCAACTCGTGCCGTCATGACGAACGCCTCTGCAGTCGCCTCGTTCGTTATTCATTGTGATGCGATAGGGAGGGGGTCAAGCAGCAGAGGGAAAGCAGAGTGCACTCATAAACGGAAGTGTGCAGCTTGTAAGTGTGCAACTGCAAGTTGAATACTTATGGCATGGGGGTAACTTAATTTTTTTGTCTGTGTGTTGTCACTGTGAGTTTACATTCTCATTCCTGAATTTTAATCTGCGCCTATGAAAATGGTTTCGTCTCACAAATTATAGGAAAGCTTTCTTTGTTTCCTTTTTCAATCTCCAAGTAAGTGAGATTTCTGTGTCGTCAAACGCTTGTCCCGCTCGAGCGCCCGTCGTCGCCCTTTGTGACAACCCCGCGCCCCGCGTGTCTAATCGCGGGCGCCCGCTTCCCCTGCTCCGCCGACGGCGGCACAGCAGTCTCTGTGATGGAATCCTAATTTTGCCGAGCATCCTGGAATGCTTTCCGAGCTACGGCCCGGCCGCCCTGCCCTGCGCTGCGGCGCGCCTCTCGCCTGCGGTGCGCGGCTTGCTTCCTGATACACGCCGCCGCCTTCACCCGCTCCCCACCACCTGGCTGCTGCTGCTGCCTTTCGGCGCGGAGCCAAAGCCAAACCTACCTAACCATCCCATCAGTGCTTTGGATTTGTGTTATTTTCCCCGCCGCTCTGTACTCCCCGATGCACCGTTAAGCGGGGAGTGGGGCGGGGCGGCGGCCCCCGCCGCTGCACGGTTTGATGAGGATTAACGGGTGACTGGGGGTCGGCGGGACGGCGGATGCTGCGGGGGTGGCCGGGGAGGGAAGGGAGGTGTTGGGGGGTGCTCCGTACACCACCGCCTTGTCGCGGTCACCCTCGCGAGACCCGCGCTGGGCAGTGCGACGCGTGGAGCCCGGTGGCGAAGCCCCCTCAGGACCCATCGCGTGCCGCATATATCAGCGGCGCCATGCTCTGCGCGGTGTTTCCATGATTATGACGTATGCTCCACAATCACTGTGAGAAATTCTCGTATAAGAGCTACAGGAAAAATTTCCATCATGCGCGTGTTGTAAAATGACAAATTAAAATTGTAAAATTACAAGCACTCTGAATCGACGTTGAATTTATTGAGAAGCAAAGCAAGAATGGGTCGTCCCGTAAATTTACAACATGTGTTCTGTAAATCGTTAATAGAAAATATGTTGTAAATTTACGGAACCTTTTTGACGGTTGATAACACCGTCTCACCTTGATGGGCCAGATCACCATCCCTTTCACCGCGGTAACCGCCGCCGGCTGCACCACCATCAGGGGCGCCCCTTTGCCATGTGTGTGCGCCGCGCCGCCACTGCATCCGTCTTCATTTAGGCCGACGGACTGGCACTGCAATCACTACGTACACTGCAACCCCATCGCCCCGCCCCGCCACACTGCATTGCGGGCGGGCGGGCTCAGCTGGCAGCCCTGCGGCAAATAAGGCGCAGGTTGGAGAGGTGGATAGGGATAGATGGGTAAATGGATGAATGGATTAATGAATGGATGGATGAACTGATGGATTGACTGATGGATGGATGGATAGATGGTTGGATGGATGGATAAACTGATGGATGCAGCCATGAATCGATGGATATATGGATGGATGGATAAACTGATGGATGGATAAACTGATGGATGCAACCATGAATCGATGGATATATGGATGGATGGATGGATAAACTGATGGATGCAACCATGAATCGATGGATGGATGGATTGATGGATGATTGGATGGATAGATGGGATGGATGGATAGATGGATTGATGGATTGATGGATGGATTGATGGATGGCTGGATGGACCCTCGAGACTTGAGGGAGCCCCTCTCGGAGCTCCTTCACTGTCATTACGCGTAAATGAATCGGTCGCCGTGTTTATATCCGCGAGCGACAGACCGGCGATGAGAAACTAATGAATTTCCGCGTCGTACTTCCCTCCCTTACTTTTTTTTAGAAATAAAAATCAGTCGGGATTCTACTGAGAAGGATCACAGTCATAGTGATTGCTGTTGGGATTTCTGATAAGAAAACTTGGTTTATAAAGCAGTAAAACATCCAAAACAAATCTTAGAAAGCCAAACTTGGAACGACTTGGAATGATACCTACTTCCCCATGCGTTCTTTCCGGGTACGTGTCCTAATAATGTTTTTTTTAACAGTGATGATCTTCCCTTCCACCGCCGCCTTATTCCGTCACCTTTTTCCTTTTTGCTCTTCCGCCCTTATCGACAAGCAATTCAGTGAGAAGCCTGCTGATTGGCGTCCGGAGGCCTTCATTGTTTTCTTTTCCTCTTCTTCCGTCATGATGATCGGCATTATTCTGGCGGCCGTCCCGCCACGCCGCCTCAAAGTGAAATCCCCCTTCTACGGCTTGTGGTGACACTTTTATTTTCATTTATTACAAAAAAAAAATAATGTGGTTTTTCTTCTTTTGTTTCTAGGCTGTCGCTGGTCCTGCGTCGTTCTGAGCCTGTTTGTCATCGTTATCCTGGAGACCAGTTTCAAGCGATAGGTGAGCATTTTAAGGCTTACAAAACTATATATTGTACGATAAATGACGCATTATGGCTGAAGCTCCTCTTAACTACTCTGCGGGAATGCTCTTCTTCTCCTTGTCTTCTTTCACACTTCTATAACGCGTAACAGATCGGTTTCTGCGAGGAGTTTCTCAAGACGCGACAGTAAGGACTGAGGAAGTGAAAGAGAAATGAGTTGACAAAAAAAGGAGAAAGAGGGCAGGAAGGCACACCTTGGGGGCTGGCGGAGCGGGCGTCAAGGAAATGAAGGGAGGCCGGGGGCGCAAGGCGAAGAAACACTTCCGATAAATGATAATCTTCAGTAATTTTCAATTTCTTAATTTTCAATTTTGTTGTGTTTTTTTTTATTTCCTTTTTGATCGAAGTGCGATATTCAGAGTAATGCGTATGTTTTATCAAATGAATAATTACTCGGATTCGCATGCCCCTTTCTGCATCGCCGAGTTTTTATTATATGATAGAATTACTTTTATGGGGTAGTAAAACTCTACATCCTAAGACTTCAGTGTCAATAATCTCTTATTTTTGCTGTCTAATGGGCTTACATAAATAAGATCGTTGTTATTACTAGTTATGTTACAGATGAGTGTCCGACTGTCGTCATTAGTAATCTCGTATTATTATCATAACCATTCAAAGATTCGCGCTTGGCCAGGGGAGGCGTTCCATAACAAGAGGCGGCTGCTGTTTTGTAGTTTATATACAACGAGTCGCGGCCCCGGCGGGGCTGGGCGCGGGATGGCAGGATGGCTTTTGCCTGGCGTCCCTTTTCCTCACTACATTGCTCATTCATTAGACGGTGGCGCCAGCGGGCTGCAGAGGGCGGCACAGTCACTTCAAAGAAAATGGATTTGCAGCTTTAATGGGGTTTGAATCAAAACTCGTTGTCCCGCGGCGCAGCACCAGAGCCTGGGCGCGGCAGCAGTGCGGAGTGCACAGCAAATTAGAAAACAAGCTGACTTACTCGTGTTGTTTGCTGCCTATGGTTGTATATTATCCCCTGCCAGTAGTTGAAGTGATTGCGAGATTTAGTGAAGAACGCACTTTTTTTTTTGCACTCATTAGTAGTCTTTTTGCACAGAGAAACAGAGCTGCCAAAGTGAAACTTTCTCGGCTGCCCGTTCTTAATTTCGGCCGCACCCACTACACTCGTGGTGGCTCAGCAACAGTGTACGGTAGTTAGGGCTCGACGGCCGGCTGGCCCGGCACGAGAGAGAGAGAGAGAGAGAGAGAGAGAGAGAGAGAGAGAGAGAGAGAAGGAGGAGGAGGAGATGGGGGGGCATTAGGCCTTCCCTGCACGCCCCCTCCGGAGTGAGGTGAGGGGCCTGTCAGGAAGTTGGTGGGGGCGGATGTGTTCTGTCCGCTGAGTGAGTGGTTTGGACCTTGCATGGCCTTGCGAGGGCGGCCGAAGGGGCTCCTCCGGGGTGTGCCTGCCTGCTCATGGGGCCGGGCACCCTCTGCTCGTGAGCTGAGTAAGAGCCTCGGGCAGTTTCTGAAGAAAAAAATCGATGAGTGCTCAAAGTTTTGCAGTAACACTGGATGTGTTCACCAAAAAGATTTCGTGCATTGACGTTTTTTACTTGCACGTAATCAATGCCAGATGAGCGCGAGCGCGGTGCGGGCTTCTTTAAGTGTATCGACCCCATCTTTTTAGGTAGGGGGCTTTACACCAGAAGAACACTCTCTCGCGGATCAGTGGCCTATACAGACGCGTGCCGGCGCCCATCTCTTCACTGCAGCCCCGATGGGTGTAAGAGGATTTGGCCTGTGTGGGGGGCGGGGAGGAGGGAGTGAGGGGGGAGGAGCGGACGATTACCCGTTAGCTTTAGCGGCTAGCGGATTCCAGCGGATCCCTCGCCAAACCCACCGGCCGTGTCGCCCACCTGTCTTAAAGTCGAACCGTTTGACTCCATGTCGCTGGAGTGACTCCTCGGTGACTCCAACCCGCTCCGCAGAGGAAGGCTGCTGGCGCGCTGGCGGCACCCGCCCCTTCCCGCCTCTTCCTCTCCTAGCAGCAGCGGCAGAGCCGAATCTGGCCGAGAAATAGCTTCCTTCCTTTTCGAGGGAGTAAAGTTTTTGGATTCCATTGTCTCTGTGAGATACACTCACTTTTTTGCCCCACCCCCACCACTCTTCCCTTCGCCCTCGGTCCATTCGATGTTGTTCTTTGTTCTGGGTCGCTGACTCGCAGCCTCGCTTTTGTAATGTGACTTTATTCCCGGTCCTGCCGCCTCGCACCTGCGCCCTTTACCAACCTTTCGACGCGACTTCTGAATCATTTCATTCTAAATACACCTTTTTTAGAAATATAGAAACAAGGGCGTTTAGAACCAAATTGTTCTTTTAGATCTTCAAAAAATGTGTACCGTTTTACAGACGGGCCCACAGAACAGTATAGAGGGCGCGGCCTGCCCGGACCCGGCGTTCACCGCCTTCTCTTTGGCCCCGGAATTCCACTTAATTAGACCACTCTTCATTTACCCCCTCCCCCCCCACCAATCCCCCTCCCATCTCTCTCTCTCTCCCTCCCTCTCCGATCTCTCATTCTCTCTCCCTCTCTTTTGCTCGCCCGCCCTGAAAGACCTCAGTGCCCCAGGCTGTCACCGACACCACCTGTGCGTCGTTTGCCCGCAGGTACACTGCGACTGTGAGGAGGAAAAAACAGGGGAGTGTATTTTAGGACCCGGGAGGAGAGAGGGGCCGCTGCCTTGCACCCATTTCAGCCCTTTTTTGTCGCGTTTTTCTAGAGTGATTGAACCAGTGCGAAGGGGGAGAGAGAGGGGGGGAGGGGGGACACCTGCTGGCATCTCAACTTGCTGGCGCTGCTGTGCGAATGAACCAAACGACACAATGAAGCCATTTTATTCGTGCTGACTGATGCAACTGCGCGTATGTGTGTGTGTGAGAGAGAGAGAGAGGGGGGGGGGCGGGGCTCTGAGTGTGCATCCGTGTGCGTGTGAAAGGCCTGCCAGCCAGGCGAGCGAGAAAATAATGTTTGCCTCACTGACAGCAGTGGCCCGTCGAGCCCGGGGCGTTTCGGACGGGTTGGGTTCGGTCGGCGGGGCGGGGCGGTCAGCAGCGGCGCGCAGAGTAAGGTAACGAAATGTGCTGCTTCTGCTCTCTGTCAGTGTCGATTCAAACTGACGGCGCGCCATCCCACCCCACCCCCGCCGCACTCTGTTAAAGAGCGGGGAAAAAGTTGGACCGGAAAAACGGGGCGTCCGGTCCACGAGCCGCGCGCTCTGCCTGCCCCGCTCTACCCTGTTCCACCTCGCCCGCGCCGCCCCCGCCACGGCCGCTGGGGGGCTGAAATGAGCAGTGGGCCTGGCCGAGCGGTACCCTTTTGTCGGGAGTACTCTTTTCACGTTGTTATCCAGAGCCTGCTGAAACTTCTTCGAAATTTCTACCACCCTAGTACGTTTTTTTTTTCCTTTTCTGTGTGTTTCGTGAGCTTCCCTTTTCTCTTTTTCCTTCTCAAAAATAACGGCAATTTAAGGGTTAGCGATATCGCGAAGGTCTGGATGCGAAAGTTATAAACTCACGCCTCCTGGCGACGGAGGGCGAGCAAGGATGGGGTCATCCAGAAAGTAACGTCCGCGCTTTCCTCGGATTCATTCGACAAACAACGGGAGCTTGGCGCCCGCGAGACTCCGAGTAGGCCAGCCCGCGGTACACGCGTGCGCTGCAGGCGAGATGTTGCCTACCCATCAGGCGCTACGAGAGCCGTGGTCGAGCAAGCCGCGTCCTGCGCCGCATGGCCGGCAGGCCGGCCCCGGCGAGCCCACTCCCGCGCAGCAGACCGGCCGGCGACCGGCCCCCGACGACGGGAAATCGATATGGAAAGTAGAGCTTTGATGGATCCATGGTGTCAAGCAGGCATCTCGCGTCCACGACGCCACGACGCGCCACGGACGTCGAGTGTCGCGTGTTCAAACACCCTCCTCCTTGCGTTCGTGTTTATGCCTTCCTGCCTCCCCGCTCCCTCCTCCTCCTCCTCCCTGCGCTGCTGCTTCTGCGAAAAGAATATGAATTGAGAGGAGATTATTCGTGCCTCAAACGGACATTAAACGAGACTCCATCAATCGCCGTTATGAAAGGGGCCCTTCTCTCTCGCTCTCTCTCTCTTTCTCTCTCGCCTCCACCTCCTCCCTCTCCCCCCACTCCGCGCACTGCTGCTCCCCGGCCGATGCGTTCGGCAACTTAAGCCGACTTCGACATCTTATCCTCCGGCCATGGCGGCGGCGCGGCACTCGCGGGGGACTAAGAGACTTCTCTCTTCCCTCCGTAACCCGAACTCTCGCTCTCCCTCTCATGGCTGACTAAGAGTTTTTGTTTCCCTTTGCCTTTCCTCTCTGCGCGTAATAATTTTTGGCAGGTCTCCCTTCGCTCTCTCTCTGCCCCCTCCCCCCT